ATATATAAAGTTTAAAGGCTGATTTTTGCTCCTAAGTGAAAAGTGCTAATTTGTTGTTGTTTTGATTTAAATAAAATGAAATGAAATAAATAAATTTAAACCAAATATTTATTGATATGTTGAACATTTACTATATTGTAATTGAGGTAAATTATATTGCGATAATTATCAGAATTGTTTTATTGCCCAGCCCTACTACTAGTCTGACTTTGAGCTCATAGTTCATTGTGGTCCTGTCCATTGTCATTGTCTGTCTATTGTTTCTCTAACAGCTACAAGATAACAATATCAAAGTAAAAAGGAGACAGTCGAGTCGAGAGCTTGCCCCCTCCCGTTGCTTTTCCTGTCCACTGAGTAACTAGACAATGGAGTGAGCCAAAGGAAGGACATGCTTCCAGCCTCATATCCTGATATCAGTCCACACAGTAATGTGTAATGGTCATAAGATTAAACAAGATATGTCTGGGAATTACAGAGGTCTCCTTTTCTAATAGCCCCTCAATCCCAACTCCCAATATGTGGTGGGAAATGGAGAGCATTGAAGGCTTCGTACAGTACAGTAACCTAGTGTTGGGCCATGGCATACAGTGCCTAAAGACCAACCAAAAGAAGCATTTATTCCCCTCAAGTGAAGACTACAGCACCACAGAGGAATGGGAACATGATGGTAGTGAAAGTCTCTTAAGATGTTATATAAGAGCAGAATATTCCTTAGCAGATAAAAGAGTCCCTATCAGCCGCCTCCCCATGCTGATTTCCTAGTGTGTTCACACTCAAAGAAGCCCTTTGATAAGCACATTAGATGGAACAGCCTGGACACAATGGTGATGTCATGAGGATTAGCACGCTACCTTGCTTAGTGTAGCGGCGGGTATAAGGGCAGTGCTGTGAACACTGCAGGGGCGACAGGCTGACCTGGCTGAAATTAGGTAAAGGGACAACAGCCAGTTAAATTTATAGCTTCTGTGTGGTTTAAGGAAGGCTGTAAAAAACACAACAGGCTTTAAACATGTGTGTTGCACTCCACTTTTGGAACATTTTGTGTAATTTTCTGCTGTATTGCCAATACACTACAAACTGTCTTGCTGTTGAGGGGCCTGTAATCAGAGCTGTGGCGCACCAGTCATACTGTAGGTCAGGTGGTACTCTACCAGTAGGGAAAGCTACTGTAAGTGAGAGCTACTATGATTTAGGCACAATGGAAGAGACCATAGAAACAGCCTCTTCATGCCTTCCTTTCAGCCCTCTCCCCCACAATTTCAGCTTTTATACCCAACCACTATCTTTCTCCTTTCACCCTGCCTTCTATTCACGTACAGTACTGTGCAGTACATGAATAAGTTAAATGCAGAAAGCTCTCTTGACACAAGAGAGGGAGAACATCATAGTGAAATTGTTTTCCAAGACTCACAGTAGCAGAGCAAATTGCTTGGGCCCACCTTACTGGAAATACTTCTCAAGAAACAGGTGATGTAGGTGGCTTATGCAACGGTTTTTATTTTTAATCCGTGGAATAGTGTTTGCTTCAATTTTACAATAGAATTTGTGAATATAATGCTTAAAAGTAAATCTAAGGTCCAGCATTGAGCATCATGTAGGCATAAGGTAAACTGATGAACTGTGTACTTAATAGCAATTCGTAAGATACTAATTGGGCAGAATTACATTAAAGACAGAATTAGATATCAAATCAAAGTGGTATGCGAGGTTGCTTTCACTGCACTTGGCTTTCTGTACTGATTGAACATACTGCATTCTGGAGAGCCAATTACTGAGCTGAATGTTCCCCATGGTTACAGCTAGATTAATAGTCAGGGCTCAGGTGGAGATGACATGTATTCTTCAGGATAAGGAAGGGCTTCCATACTCAAGGCCTCCTGCAATGGAATATGTTTCTTTTTTTTTAAGAGAAGTTGAAGGATCACACAAGCAAACTGACGGACTCACATACATACACGGAAATACAATAGTGCCCAGTTGGTTTGACGTCAGCCACTCAGTCTCATTTTTATTTGAAGAGCCACATTTCTATCAATACAGGTTTGGACTGTTGTGAGAAAATGGCAACTGGCCTTGTTCCCACTCATCTTTGTGAGCCTCTCAGGGCCTTGTGAATAGATTACACAAGTTCCCTTGTCTATACTCTGTGCAGCCCCCCTCTCGCAACAAACAGCCCATATCTTTCATCAGAAACGCTACTGAAAACCCTAACCTCAGCTGTATTCACATCCAGCCAACTTTACTTTCCAAAGTACAAACCCCACAGCTTGATTCAGCATTTGACAGGCTTTTTTGAAACTGCTTTAATCAAACTATTCATAATGCAAAAAGAGGTTATCTTTTTTTTTGCATCCTGGTCATCTAGGAGGTTTTTCCCTTTTCTAGGTCAGAACACTGTAGTGTCTGGAGCAGTCTACAGCATCGACATGTAAGAGCAAAGTTGATGTGGGATCGGGTGGCCTTCAGGGCTCCATGTGGTCCCTTCTACGGCAATGTCTCTGTGCGGCTGCTTGTGATTGGCCAGCATGGGGAGCCAGGTCTTGACAGGTGTTTGGAAGAGGGACACCTGTTTGGCCATGTGCTGATTTAGTGATCCATTTACTGGGAGCTGTGGGCAGCGTCTGTGGGACACCCAAAACATGCCAAGTCATTTAACAAAGAATTATAGCCATGCTTTCCCAGGCCTTCAAAGTGATACACATTAGAACGCCACAGAGACGATTAACTTTGCACACGAAGAGTCCTTTAATGCATTTGTTTTGTATAGAATATGTATTTTAGTGATTCATGTCATGTATCATGGAACAGATCTGAGAGCTGTCTGCCCTTGTCTGCTATCTGGTTCCTGCTCACCCACTATGCTGCTGCAACCCCTCCCTAAATGGCTTGGGCCAGTGGGTGCGGTGTACTGAAGGGTGGCCAGGCTCGTTGTGAAAGTGGAGCAGCCCTGCCTATCTCGCACAGACGTGCCCGACCAGTCCGACCAAGATATTCCCATAATGAGCAGGTTGGAACTTAAATTTGCAGGTTGAGATCAGATCTTTGGCTCACTGGTGGAGAAAGTGCATAGTTTAACCCCAGTAAACACAGGCCTTTCAGGACCCTAACTAAAGAGGGTTCGTTCAGTAAACAGGAAATGAACCAGCAAGGCGTTTTCTTAGAATGAGAAGAATGCCACTGCTCTGTACCACACCAAACAGTAAAGCATCTGTGGTACAGTGCTGGCCATTCATTATCCAGAGGACTTCTCTCTCTCTCCCACTCCTCTGGGCATTGCAGACACTTACGTTTGAAGACATGTGGGTGCTTTTCTGAACTTCCTTATTTTTGTCTTAGCTGCACACAGCATCACATTTCTGTCTGTGCAATGTAGATTAACACTGTTTTTGTGGCCAAACATGTATATCCCTTAAAAATTTTATGCATGTGAATGCATGGAGATGGAGTGAGCAGTGAAGGATTTAGGGTCATATAGTGAGCAATGCCATAGCACAGGTTTTAGGAAATGTAACTTACACTGAGGTTGTGGTGAGCAGCGCTGGGTTAGCCGCATTGTCTGCACAGACCTAAACGTACTGTCACATCGCTGTCAGAGGATGTAGCAGCTGTAGACCCACCCCACCCCCATCACCACCACCACCACCACCACCACGCATATACAAACACACACACACACACACACACACATCTACTCATATAGTTTCTGTTTCTCTATCACACATACACATTTTCCACTTTGTTGGGGGATGAAGACCAGAGACAGAGAGAAAGGTCTCATTAGTGTATATAGGTTCCTCTCCTCTGCCTCACACTCTGACCCCTGCATCCGGAGGAGTCAGTGACCTTCCTGTAGACACGAGGCCTCCGAGGCAGCCCACAGACAGGGCAGAGCGCTGCTGTGGACCTGCAGCAGCCTGATAGAGGAACCTTGAGAGCCACGCATAAATCATGTTTTGATGTACACTGCCTTGATATCACAAGCTGTCACATGCTGTCAGCAGGTCTTGTTAACACCGCTATTCAGAGCTGTAATGAGGAGCAGAGAACAGCCTGTATAAAAGTGAGCAAAAGAGCGTTATTTGTTTAGCTGCATGACATGTTTTTTTCCCCTGAAGTTAGAATAGGCTCTTTATAGCACCACAACACACCACCCTATGTACTTATGAGCTCTTTGCTTAACAATAATTGCTCAATTTCATGCTCAAATAAGCATCTTTGACCACATTTGATAATCCATTTCATTCCCCACATGCATTAACTTTGATAAGATCCCACCAGTGACAACCATACTGAATTACTGACTGGGACAGTCTTAAAGTGCTCTGCTGTAGGATCTTCTTATGCAGGGGTTTCTTCCAGCTGGGAGGCTTATGATAACTGAAATATAATGAAAAATGCAAACACACACTTGTGACAAGAGAAGGAAGAACAGAGAGGGATGGAGTCAGAGAGGGGGGAGTGCGAGAAGGAGAGAGAAAGAGACGAAAGGGAGGAGGACAATATTTTGTTTCTTTGAACACTTCTGAAGGGTGAAAGGATATAGAGTGACATTTCAGTTTCCCCTTGGTAAAGAGCCCTGTATTGAACTACAGTTTAGCCTAGCATTGGTACAGCAGCTGTTCATGCAGTACTGCAACAAGAGAAACAAATGAAGGACAAACATTCTGCAGATGTTAATTTTTATGTTATTTTTTTGTTGATGTTTGATTCATATTTTTGTAGTAGAAATGTATATAAGCAGCAAAAACACAGAGATACATCTTGTATACTGTTTCTTTTCAACTGTGCAATTTCATTTCAGAAATTGAGAAACAAAGGCCATAATGACTGTGCTAGTCCTGATCCTGAAGACTGTTTTGGGCACAGCCCCCTCATGGACGACCATTTCGGCAAACTAAACGAAGAGAGTGATTTAATGTACAAGCGCTGTGGTGTAAGTACTTCCTTTGTCTCCTGCTGTTTTGTGTTGATTCCTGTCTTTATGTTGATGTTCACTACAGGCGCTAAACAAGAAAGAACACAGAGGTTGTGATAGCCCGGACCCTGATGCCTCATATGTCCTCACTCCTCACACTGAAGAAAAGTATAAAAAAATTAATGAGGAGTTTGATAATATGATGAGAAATCATAAAATCGTAAGTACTGTAAATGCAACGTCTTTGCTTGGCTTTGTGGCACAAAGGATTTTCACTCTATTTTCATTTAACTTTTTCCTCTTTTTGTTACCCCCCCAACCTGTCAACTTTTTTCAAAACTACTATAGCTTCAGAATTATGCCCCCTTCAATGGGTGTGCATTTGTTTCTTATGTTGATTTGTTCTGCAACAGATATTTTGGCACACCCTGATAAGATCACATTTCATATGAACAGGTGAAATGTTGCATGTTTCTGCTGGATAGATTACACTCTACTATCATTGTCATGTTATAATAAATCAAACAGCTTTCACTATTACTACTATATCAGGAATGTACAGTAAATACTCACACATTGTGAGTGATTATCATAAAGATCTGCAGGTTCTGTGATTTAAGGTTGTTTTTTTATCATCATCTCAAACCTGATTTTCATCTCATAATGTAATGAAAAACAAATGAACAAAATATTCCTTGATAGTAATGTTTACAATTACTCCTTTCTATTACCTCACTCTCAATGCATTCTAGCATAAAATATCTCTTACTCCTGAAAGGTTCCAGCAGTAAAGTGTTCCCAGAGCACACTAACACTGCGCTATCATTTAGCATCTTCCCTCTCCTTCATCAAGTACCACACTGGCTCACCCTCTAAAATATCACAAATCTTTTGTGATCTTATCATGCGTGACAATATTAAAATTGTGCAAGAACATAGTGCTTACTAAGCAGTTGTTTTCTCTATGTTCCTGACATGAAGAGCATCACTTTGCCATTAACAAACTAATGATAACACCCGACTGGCTCACCGGATAGTGCTATGATGAAACGTTCTCACTGCCAACTGTCATTCTCACTGACGCTTTGCACAGTCAGCACTTGTAGGTAAATGCAAGTGAGTCACGATTCTTGTATTTGTGAATCGCCGCTACCCCTCTCTGCTGTGCTGAGGAACACGTAACACGATGGTGTTTCAAAAAGCAAAAGTATGTCTGTAGTGCTGACTGCTGCAATGCCAAAGTGATCACCTGAATGCATGTTTTTGGATTTTGGTTTTCTGTGTTTTCTGTGTGTTGCGGTAGCACTGAAAATGTGTGTGTATTCTGTATGATGCTAATGAGAATAAACGTTTTTGATGGTTATATGGTGTCATTTAATAGCCATTACATGTCAGGCAGCAATGTTCCTTAAAATATTGTGCTATAAAGCAATTGCTGAGTTTAAAATGCACAGTATACTATGTTTTGCAGTTCTTTAGTGAGTTCTGCCTGATTATTTTTTGAACATTTATTAAAGCAAACCCTCAAGGGTTGTTCACTGTTAATGATGCCATGACAACCACTGACCCAACAGACTCATCACCAGACCTTGGATTTTGAGTGTGTTTGTGTGTAAATATATGTGTGTGTTTGTCTCCCTCATGTAGCCCACAGCATTGCCTCAGCAAAACTTCTCCATGCATGTGGCAGTGCCTGTGTCCAATCCTAATGCCATGTACCAGCCAGGAGGGACTCTGGGCAGCCAAGCCCTGGCAGCAGCTACAGCCTCCTTGAGTGACAGTGGGATGCTGTCCCCTCCACAGGCCTCTCTGCACAGGAATGTGGGCTCAAGTGGAGGACCCCAGAGGCCCCCCAGTGCAGGTTAGTGTACAACAACCCCAGTCAATTGGTAGAAGTCTAATAAATAAATTCTTCACTGAATTGTCTGGATCATTCTCAGTTTGAATTTCTTGTAGAAAAAATTGACAGTTGTTGTGAAAACTGATCATCGTCAACCAGGTTCATTAGCCTAGATTAGCGTAAAAACTAGAATTGGGAGGAAACGGCTAGCCTTGTTCTCTCTGATGCTCAAATAAACTACATAGATAACCAAGATAACATGGAAAATGTAAGCCTCACTGTTTCTGCACTACAGTCAATTATAAACCACATAATACATGACAAAGGCATTGTCAGGTGAGGATCAATTGTCCTCTCCACTTTGTTTAATTAGATGTAGTAATCTGCAAATCTTACCAAAATGTATAATAGAGTTTTTTGAAATACAATAGAAGTAAAACTAATTGCAATGATTTTAGCTTGTGGTAAAATGGTGAAACGTTTTTAATGGACATTTACCATGTGAATTATCAAATTGCATATATATATGTGTGCACATACATTTTTTTATGCAAATTCTGAAAGTAAACATTATTGGTCACTTGATAGGCACACTGTCTTGTTATCGTGAAACCGTTAGCTGTAAAAATAAATTGTGTTTTCCACCAGGGCAATAAAACGTGAAGTTCAGCTGTCTTATCTGAACTTCCGTGCTGTACTGTTTTATTGCCAATAATATTCATCAACTGATTGTCTCGTGAACATAACCGGCACATTTCTGTCCACTACCAAAGCCAAAATACAGAGCTGGAGAGTATCCTTACATGAAATTATAATCCAACTATACATTTTATCTACCAGGACAGTAAAGGTTTAGCTGGCTGATCTGAGTTTCCATGCTGTACGTTACCGTTTTATAACCAGTAATATTGACTGATTGTCTCATGAACGCAAGCGGCACATTTTTCTGTCCACGTAGCAAAGCCAAAACACGGCAGTGGAGAATAACATTAAATGAAATTAATCCAACTACATATTATACAACATTGATCAGGAAAACATGTCACTTCTCTCTGTGAGTATGGCTAGCTTTCTAACAACAGTTTTCATTTGCTTTGCTAGAGTTGGACTAATTTAATTACCTGTCAGGCAGAAAACAGGCAACTTCAGCACCGCTTTGAAAACATCTGTCCCACACAATAGCCTTCCATCTGGGAAAATCCACACCGTTGTTTATATATTTGATTTCTGCCGTCCTCTGTCCCGACTTTATCTGGCTTCACGCACCATTGGCCTGTGCTAAATAATACGTGTGGTCTTCCATTTGTTCACTTCACTTCTTACTTCTAATAAACCAGATGACTAGTCAGAGACTGTATATTATAATTATAATTTCCTCTCCTTCTTCTTCATACGCATTCGACGTAGTGAAAAAGCGTCTACACTGCCAGTATTATCCACGAAGAAGAAGAACAACGTAGTGACGAAACGTGCTCTGTAGTGCAGATTGTCCGTTTTCGGCTACTGTAGAAACATGGTGGCCTCCATGTAAGGGGGACCCGCGGTTATGTAGATAGAAATGGTTCACTATGTAAAGTCTTTATACACCTCTGAAAACATAGTTATGGATCTTATATGGGGATGGATCTTATATTCTGTCAATAAATCCTCAGAAATAGTACACACTGAACCTTAAATTACAGAAATGTAAAAATAACAATCATTTTAAGAGTTACATACTGTACTATGTTTTGCTATTTTTATTGAACAACACTGTAATTAACAGGTAATCTGTGCACCCAGCATTTCTCACAGTTGACGCGGTTGTCTGGCAACTTCACGTTACCCTTCATAAAACCACAACGCTTTAGAGGTGTTGCTAGTATTTTTGTTTTTTTTACTTTGAATGGAGCCATGCTAGCTGTTTTCCCTTGTTTCTACTTTTTATGCTAAGCAAGGCTAATCGCCTTTTATATGTGAAGATTGTATCGATCTTCACATCTAACAGTCAGCAAAAGTGTAAATATGTGTACATATATTGTGTTAAACTACTCCTTTATGGTAAGTTTTTTTTTTTTTTGGTTATTATAGTTTACACTTTTTGTTTTTCATGTTGGCATTGGGTATAGGGGGCATAAGGCTGAGCAGTCATGTCACACTAACACCCCTTAGCTGGTTTTTGTGTGATATTTTTTCTTCACACCCTGAGAAAAGCTTATCATCACACCTTTTACTGTATCAGCATTGTGGAAAATGATGTCAGTCTACGCTGGTACTTGCTTTTGCAAGATTCAGCTTCATGCATACAATAGAAGTAACGTACATGCGACAAGGTGTGAAATGCCTCATTCAAATTTAATCACATATCAGAATTGCCTGACACCTACACATTTGCAGAGGGTTTTACTCAAGGTTTTTCACAATAACTCCTCTGTCCTCATTGTTTGCTGCAAGGTCTTTACTTTTTTTTTTAGGATGCACATGTCCAAGCTCATCTGGTATACTAGCACTGTGTGCTTTGATTTAAGTGTCTCTTGAAAGTGTCTGCTTGGTAGTTCATGCGACAGTTCTGAGAGGCTCCTATAGATACCATAAATATTTATATTATAAAATTATAGAAATTATAAACATAATGGACACCATACTGAACACAGCTTGATGTTGCTCTCTGTAATCATATATTTGAAATTTCCCCACCATGAGGACACTCGCGAGAGCACATGTGTGCTGTGAAGATAGATCTACATGACATTTTCATGTCTGGTCTGGCATCTCCATCACATGCTCTGCTAACTTGCAGAGGGATGCAGATGGTTAATCATATCACTCTGTGCATCTCATTAGGTGGCATGCTGGATACCACAGACCTTTCAGTGCCAAGCGGTGTGGGCTCCAGCCCAGCGGGTAAGTCCTGCCGGAGAGATTCATTAGCTCTCTGTAGTTCTGCCCAATAGGCCTCCTGCTTAGCACGCAAGCTGGATTGTTGCGTATCCATCTGTGATTGGTTCAAGGCAGTTGTCACTATCATTGACTGATAGTGCCTTTGCTCAACTATATTTTTACTGCATGCAAAGGGGATACATGTGTTGCTCCTCTCAACAGAGGAAATGTACGATATGCTTTTTAAATGCATGTTTGAGAGATGGGAAATGACTCAGCGGCAGTATGGTGTTTGTGCTTGAAACCAAACTGGGTAACCAGGCAAGGCAATTAGCTGTCCAACTGACTTTGGCAGGTAAATAAACGCAGCATTTCCTTTAAACTTGTCACCTCTATGTGGCCCTCCCTCCTCCTGTTTCCTTCCCTGTATTGACAGGTGCATCTGTTTTCCCCCCGCTACTCTGGCAGCCCATATAAGGCTGGAGAGGGTCTGTAAGATGCCTAGACCAGCATAACCCTGTAGGTATTCGGGCCATGACATCCCACTAAGTCCTCAGTACACAATGACCGGACAGCCTGTCATGGCTGCAATGTGCTGTGTGAGAGGCGGAGGCAGGTGGAGTTTAACTCTTTCCTTGACACTTAGCTTGCTGTACTCCATATAGGATTTCTGATTAAATGCAGTATGGTATTACAAAATTGTATGGCATTTAATGTTCATAGCGTGTGGCAGAACATAAGACTATAGGCTTACAGTGGGATATTTGGGTAGATATTCATTAGAAAATATGAAGATCACCTTGGATTGGTTTACAGTCAGCATTTTAAAGAGAGTGCTGGGTAAGTCTGGGGTGTGCCACCGGGTTGGGGTAGAGTTAGGATTCTCTTCCAGGGGGCGTCAGCGTTTGGCACAGTGGGCACATGCTGCAGCTGTTGTTTGTACCAAGTGTGTAGAACAGCAGAGACTACAGGGAGGAGAAACCTCTCCAGCCCTGCTGTCAGATGACCATTCCTCACATAGCTCTGATTTTTCACAAGTAGCAGCTATGACCACAGCAGAAGTCTTTCATAGTGGCCAGATGGAAGATGGGCCGTGCGATATCTTCTCTTCTGTTCGATGGTGTCATCACAGAGAAAAGATTTCATGCATTATTTTAAATTTTTTTTTACAAAAGACAAATAGAAGAAGTAAATTATTTTCCTCACAACCTATTTGTCCCTGTTGGTGACGGGCAGCTGTTTTAACTGTGTGGAGGAGTTATTATTTACTCATTAGCTGAAAATTGCCTGACTTGCAAGCATGCATATGTTAATGTCACAGTGAACATTATTGGTGAGACAATTGTCTGTTGTTCTTTCTAAAATAAGCCATCTGTTGTTGTTCTTGTCTAGTCTTTGGTTTGGATAATGGCTCTACAGCTACTACGCCTTCAGAAACACCATCTAACAAGTCTCATTTTATACAGTGTGCAGTTCCATAATAGATCTCTCAACAACTCATACAATTACACCTAATTGCAAGCTCTGGTCCTTGACTGCTGAGCATTAAGAATGAAAGTTGTGGTGAGCAGCGAGGATTTCAAAGTGTGCTCTCTTTTATGTGCAATGTCTGCAAGCTGTACATATCCCTTCATTAATATTGGAGCATTACAAGCTCATGAAACACAAGTACAGGGTATGTTGTGTTCAGCAGATCACATCAGGTAATGGAATAAATAGTACTGTAGTTGTACCATGTTTGTGCAAATTTTATTTTCATAAAAAAATTTATTGTAACCTTTCATTTCTTCATGCTGGGGTTAATTGAATGTGAAACATGTATTCAAGGTTGGAGGATGATGATGAATCATTCCCATGCTGTGTAGAAAATAACAATAATGTGAACCATCTGTCAGTTTTTCTATAGTCTACCGTTTTTAGGAAAAGAGTGGGGGACAAGAACAATTATTTACCTGGTTGCCATCTGCCTTCAGTCACCCTCTGCACATCCTGCCTGGTCTTGGTTTTCTGAGACAAAACAATAGGACTGTGCATGGCATCTATTATTAGAAAACTGTTTTTGGAGGCCTTGATTCACATCTATTATTTCTTCTCACCAAGACATTTTCTCTTTTGCCTGAACCTGACGTGTGTTTGGTGATCGGCACAATAGGTCACCACGTTTTCTTTCCCCCGACCTTAAAATGAAAACAGAATGTTTAAGTTGTAAACACAAGGCCTTATGTAATGCTCCATTCCCAGATCGTGTTAATAATTCAGGACAATGAACTGAAACCAAACAGCTATCAACATGCACAGGTTTCAGCCAGAAAGGATTTATTGGCACAACCGGTCTGTCAGAGAAGTCTGAATATGGAATGAGGGCAGACATCAGAAAAGCCCTCTGAAATGTCCCTGCTGAAAGGCTGGGTCTTAACTTGTGGCTGTTACCTTGGCTCAGAATTACTGTTGTGGTTTAAGTATTTGTTCAGACATGTGCTCCCTTCTTGGCAATTATTTGAAAGAAGTGTGGAATTTACTCATCATCAGACATCTGAAGTCATAATCAGGGGCACATTCCAAAGATGTGCAAGTCAGGTGGGTTAATCCAAGTCTAAATTAGCCAGTTAATACAGCACTGGGTGTCTGTATTTGCCCTGCGATGCACTGGCAATGCAGGGCAAATCAGCCCTGCATACATTGGTATAGAAGTGGACAAAGAGCTAAAGCTAAATGAGCACCATTTGTTTTATAACCTTACAAAAACAGCAACAGCCTTATGCCCAATGCAATTTGGTCGATTTAATTGTGTTTATTATTCTTGGTGGTATGAAGGTTAAAAAGCCGACATCGATGAATCAGTATGTATGTTATATATCTGTTTTCCTTACATCAATTTATTCAGTTTTGCATTACAATATGTTATCTCAAGGTACATATATATATACAATGGTGTAATTGATCTTTTCTTTTAGTTATGTATATGTGTTACCAGTACAGTGGTGTCTTGTAATCCCATGATGGATGGGCCAAATGTTTGGCATCACACAGAAATGAAAATGAACAAACTCTGTCCGTTAAAACATCACAGCTCACTGATTTTTATCAGAAAGCTCTTATTTTCTTGCCATTTTGCACATTCCTTTACATGCAATTCTAGTTTCACTAACATCTCATTCCCACTCACTGACATCTTCACTGCTTTTAATCGGGTTTTCTATTTTTAGGGCCTTGGACATTTATTCTGCTAATTCTGTAAACATTGTTTTCTTGCAGTAGCCAAGTCTTGTATGATCAAAGCCAGAGCTGATAGCGATAGCTGCTTGTATATACTGTTGATTCAGCTGTGTGATACTATTGTCGGCTTCATAACTGTTTATTTGACCGTGAATTGTTGCTGTCCTTATCTGTAGTCAGAGGGGCTATTGTTCCATTATGTTCTTACCCAAGAGGCTACTTGTTGTGTGCACACTTTGTGTTTCACTGGGATACACTGAACACAATGGAGAAGTCAGCAACTTGTTGAAGTGTTACTGATCTGTTGATGCATTGCAAGATACTATTCATTCTTTCTTCCCCGTTTTTAGGATTTCAGCATATACAATATGTATTTTAAAGTTATAGTTTTTACTTAGAACTGCTTAAAGTAAATTCCATTTAAAATACAAGTGCACTTGAAATATTACTGTTGTTTGGTTAGGAAGTTTTTCATAACAATTCACTTCTCCATTTTTATTAGAGTGGATTTGTGTGGAATCTTCAGAATCCTACTGCAGACCTTGTTTAGATGAGTCATTCAGTATTTTAAAATTGAAAAAAAAGTACTTTACCTCGACAAAACCAGGAAGAAATAATGTTTTTTTGAAACCTGTATTGTTTTTAAATGCAGCAGTTTGTAGAATACTAGGTGAAGAGAGTTTATAGTATTTTAACAATAAATTATTTTATAGTTTCATTTAAATTCTTATTTTTGTGAGCTAAGTCACAAAAATACTCATAACACATTGTTTTACCAGGAAGTCCCACTGAGGTCAAAAATCTCTTTTACAAGAGAGAACTGGCCAATGTACAGAAACACAACATATTAAAATGCAACATGATGTACAAAATCCACAATAAAACAAAGAACAGCTTTTCAAACACATTGGCCTCTCAGGATAAACAACTACATACCTCTATCACCACATTCTTTATGATGCCCTTAAATTCATCAGTGGAAATAAATGTGTCTAGTTTCAGATTTGTTTGCACATTATTCCTTGCACAAGGTGCATAGTAGGAAAACACAGTTCTGTCAAAATCTGGGGTATATTAAAAAGGAACTACATGGAAGAGCGTAGCTGGTAACTATGGTTATACCAGCTACTATGGTTCAATAATATTGTAAAGTAATTGAAAACTGTACTATGAATCTACACAGACAAGTGTTAAAAACTGTTCCTGTAAGTCTGTAACACTTATACGAGACACAGAAAAGTAGAAAGTGAATTTCTTAGTGAATTTACAAAATCTATCCGCACCCACTGATAATATAAACACTTTGCATGAGACAGTTGTCCAGCGATAGAGTGGGAGTGAGGAGGGTGGGAGTTCCTTAAATGTGAAGTACTCGCTCTTTGAAAAAGGAAATGACTAACGACCACGGACATCAAGGTGTGAATGTTCAAGGGAGAGCTTAGTACTTTGCTATGTTTTTTGTGCACAGTGTAAAAACAACATCGAGAGAATCAACTCAACTGTAATGGCTTCGGCTATTTCTTTTAAGCAGTCACAGTACATTTGTCAGTGAACTGCTCCTCATCCCAAGATGCAAAGAATTGACTTTGATGTAATCATTCACAATAAAAATAAAAGGCTCATCAATTTTGAAATGGACGTTTTATTTTTGTAAATGTGCAGGATAATTATCCAAGTCTATTAAAACTTCCCAGAGGGTTGGAAACACTTAACACTGCGTGCTGCAGCAGGAAAACAACACTGTGGGAGAGGTTTGCTTGATGACTGGGAGTGTTGTCAGTCACAGTCCATGGTTTGATGATGTGTTTCTGTTGCTGTGTACCTCTGCAGGAAATGGTTTTGTTAACCCCAGGGGCTCTCCGGGCGTCCTCAGCACACCCAGCGGCAATGGCCTGGGTAAAGTCATGCCCACCAAGTCTCCACCACCCCCTGGAGGGAACATGGGAATGGGAAGCCGCAAGCCAGACCTAAGGGTGGTTATCCCTCCATCTAGCAAAGGGATGATGCCCCCACTGGTGAGTACAGAGCACACCACTGCACACAAGTATGGCCAGCTAAAGGACCTTTAAGTATGACTGCTGCAGGGCAGACCAGAGCTTTATTTAGTGTCTCAATCTGGACTTACTCACAGTGTGCAGACCACATGTGAGCACCGTTCCTCTTGTGCTGTCTTCTTCTTAGATCACCATTATAATCCATTAGAGTGTGGACCTAGCCAAGGATTGGCAGCTCATGTGTCTTAACTCTCTCTCAATTATTCACATTTAAATGAGAAGCTTTCTCTAATATAATAATGATGGTGCAGAGCCCTCTGACCACAGTAAACACCTGAGGCTAAACTTCCCTCTCTCGGTCATAAATCAACATTCAAAATACTATTAAGTGGGGGATTTTCAGACACAGGCCAGCAAATATACTATTTCCAACTTTGCGTGTTGCTGGTGTTGTCAGCAACCGGAGCCACTCCAGGAAAAGGATTGTGTTTGGTAAATAAACCTTGGGTTACTGTGGGTGCTCCTCCTTTTCGGAGCCTCAACTAGCCTGGAGCAGTGTTTAAACAACTGTGTGTTGGCATGTGGAATCGGTAGAGCAGGACAGGTTGTGCTGTAAGAGGTCTGAAACAGGTTAGGCTGTGGCGGGAGGAAGGTTCTGTTCTGTCTGAGCCAATGAAGCTTTTTAGAATGGCAGAGGCTGTGGAGGTTGCTGGCTGTGGCAGGTCTGCAGACAGCCTGTCATTAGGCCATAATGGTATTAAATTAATCACATCTCAGTGTGACAGAGTGTAGATGAAGACTTAATCAGGGGCCCAGGGTGTGAGCCAGATAATATCTTGTCGCCCTTGTCGTGTCTTCCTGCCGCTATTGATTGAGTGTGGGTATTAAGACAGCCCTAGCCTGGTCGCAGTATGTCCCACAGCACAGAAAAGATGGAAGATTGGGTTCTGGTACCTCTGTCAGCACAGGGAGGGTTTGAAATATACAGCACTTTGTTGGGAAGAAACTTCATGTAATTTCTGATGAATGCAGTGTTGAGAACCTTTGTCCAGGATTCGACTGCTTTGTCGTCATCATTAACAAGATAATGTTATAGCGTTATAGCCCAACATCCACACATTGCTGGAAGATTGTGGCCACGTAATTGAATGCTAAATAAAGTTTATCAGGGCACCAATAACAAGAATAACAACAGACTTTAGACGTAAAATGAGTGTGATTTTACAACGACTACAGATGTCATCTACACTTTTATGTACCTTATTGTCCCTTCTACTGTAAAGTATGGATAGCTGGCACTATTTTCCAGAGTGATTTACAGTCACTCTGCTTCTTTTCTATAACACTGCCTCTCTTCTTTTCTTCTGTTGTGGGCAGTCGGAGGAGGAGGAAATGGATTTGGTGAGTTTTGACAAATGCCTGGGCAAATGGCTGAAATGTGAACATGCTTCCGGTAATCACACATGATAGACTAAAAGACCGTGCTCAAACAGGAGATTGGCTCTCAGGACTGCCAGCAATAATACATTTAAAAAAATGTTTTGTCACTGCATGTTTTTTGGGTTTGGCCTGTGAAAATTGCCTCAGCCTGTTAAATTGGCTCCTCCATTCCCAACACGTCAACGTTAGTCATATTTAGCCAGGAGTGTGTGTGTGTGTGTGTGCGTGTGAGAGAGCGAGAGAGCACACTTTTTTTATACCATTAAGTTGTAGACACAATCTGAAAAGTTTTTGGAATTAAAAAAGTGTCGGGTAAAAATATAAATAATTTGTACTTTTTCTAAGGAAGAGAAGATTACATCATCTTAAATGATATCATTCTGTGAGACACTTGGTGTTTGGTGAAGTCATTTGGCTGGAGAGTGTTGGAACAATGCAAGGAAGCCATCAACTACATAACGGTGCTATGCTGCTTCAAACGTAACCGCTGGCAGCTGCACATATGTTTGTTGCATTATGTTCATGAAGATTTGTTATAGTATTGTTCAAAACTATGTATGCGTTTGATTAGTGTAGTTGGGGTGTGTGCATTTGTAGCTCGCGGTGTAGTTTGCTGCATGACCACACCATGCTGTGTAGGTGTGTTTGAGTGGACTGCATGCCAGTCATTGTACTAAAAACCACTGGGGCTTTACTGTGCGTCACTCTGGGAATTGAAATGTGTCATTTGCATTATCCTTTTGCACCTTCTCAGTTAAGAGTTGTTTATTTGATTATAAAATGGATCACTAGACTCACTGTGATTTCTCGCACTCTGGATGTGTGGGTAACAGATGCTGTTGAAGGGGAGGGCTCTTCCTCCCCTCACTATCCCTATGACATTGTTCTTTTTCAAGTCTAACAAAGTATAACTCATTAAGCCGATTGTGGGAAATCTTATCAATAATTTGTTTTGCCTGTAGCTGCATGTCTGCTCTTGTAATTTCTGCACTGACTACATCGGTCAGTTGTCCACTTAAAATTGATGGAAGAAATGAATTAGTTGTTATGATTACTAAAATCTACCTAATTATTTTTAAGCCCACGGCAACAATATCTGTGATACATTTACGTATATCTATGTATGTTTGTTTTATATGTACATATAATTTTAATATAACTATATCTGGAAGAAAATCCGCAACATCACTTATTGAATATTTTATCCTGTTTTTATCCTTTTTTTTGGACATATTTGTCAATGAGTTATGAATCAGAGATATGAATAAAGCTATACCACCACCTAGTGGCAGCTTTTATTATTACATTCAAATCCCTTATTACCACAATATGAATAGGTAATACCAACTTAAAACTTATGTAATGTAACTTCGTTATAAAACAATTTGTACGTTGTTTAGTATGAAAGTGTGTTGTATTTTGGGCTTATGCATTTTCTATTGCTTTTGTGTTTTGCAGAACACCCAGAGGATAAGCAGCTCTCAGTCCACCCAGCCACTGGCCACTCCAGTAGTGTCCGTCACCACCCCGAGCTTACCCCCACAGCCTGGCCTGGTCTACTCAGGCATGCCCACCTCCTACAACCCTGCTGGTGAGTCCGGTCTTGCTCTCCCCTCAGACTGAAAACAACCGCCTCAGCCGTGACTGTTGTACTACACGCTGTTGGTTCCTGCTCTTTTCTCAGTGGCACACAGTGTTGTAGCTGAAATGTGAGTGAGTTCTCACTGTGTGTGGCTGCTGTTGTTTTTACAGAGTTCTCCCTGAGCAGTGCAGAGATCTCTTCCCTGCAGGGCTTCAGCTCTCCCGGGCTCTCACTGGGCTCCATGTCGGCATGGCAACAGCATCAACTGGGCCAGGCAGCTCTTAATTCTTTGGTGTGAGTAACACACTACCCAAAACATAGGCACACTCTCCAGATGCCCTCACATAAAAGCAACACCCACTATGCTTTGTGATATCATGCTGAATCACACATCTACATATTCCTGGCTTTTCACATTGTTGCACCTCGCACTTGTTGTCTCATTTTTAGACTGAACACAACATGTCATATTTATCTCCTCTACAGTGGTGGAGGTCACCTACCTCAGGGCTCCAACCTCTCCATCAACACCAGCCAGAGCATAAACATCAAGTCCGAGCCCATTTCGCCGCCACGGGAGCGTGTCACCCCCTCTGGCTTCCCTCCTCAACAGCCGCATCAAGGGTCCAGCCGACACGAAGTTCTGGGACGTTCACCTGCCGACAGCCTCAGCTCCTCCTGTAGCTCTTATGACGGGAGCGATCGTGAGGACCACCGGCCAGACTTCCACTCCCCGCTGGGGCTGGGAAGACCCCCTGCTGGCTCTGAGGACAGGGAGAGCCCCTCGGTCAAGCGCTTGCGCATGGACACATGGGTGACATAAAGAGCCCCGATCACGCCTCCAGTCACCAGCCAGTCAGAGAGAGGGAGGGGTTAGACATGGAGATAAAAGAAAGAGCAAGGGTCCTTAGAGCTTTTGTTATGATACTATTATCCAACTCCATTTCAATTTGTAAGACTGAGTGGAAAATGTTAAAAGACGTGTCAGGACATATCTAAAGTAAATTCTCAAGCTGATCCAGTAAGATTAAAACAAATCTCAGTTAGCTGGACTGAATTATATGCACAGGCAGGTGGTATCAGGTACTTGGTGCAATTTAGATGGTGTTTGCAGAAAAAAGATGTTCAGAGAAAATTGTTTAAAAATAGGCGGTAGATTATTGTATTCACTGGTCTAGTCAGACACTTACATGTAGTTGCTGTATTGCTGTGCTTGCAAGTTGCAATCAGAGAGCGTTGTGTTGCTTTCAGGCTGAGGGCCCTTACATATTATGTTCACTGCAAGAACTGTAACCATACAAGACTTTATCTCAAGTGGCCTCTTCTAACTTATGTATTCTGTTTATCAGGAAATACAGACAGAGTTAATAAATACTACACAGGAATTTTGATCACACAATAAATAATTGCAACATTTGAGACTACTTTAGTGAATAAATGAAACCATACTGTTGAAGGTCAAAATGAAATAACAGAATTTATTGCAATAATGACATCCAATTCATTTTATAATTTAATAGAGTAGGATATATAAGTGTGCAATTAAGATAATGCGAACCTGTCCAGTTGAACTGGTGTGAAAATAAACATGTTCACGTTTGTGTAACAGTTCATCAGTAATATAAGCCAAAGCTGTTCTTTTTGTGTTGTTTTGTACAGTTGCTATGGTTTCCTAACAATTCACTCAAATGCACCATTTCGTTCATCATAGTTTTATTTTTTATTGTGCTTTATTGCAAACCGTGTAAAGTCATGTAAACCAGATCTTGAATTGATATTCTAAAGCCATGAACATTTTGCTGTTCTGTTTGTATAATTGAACATTTGAGCCAAACCTTTTATTTTGTTGTGTAAATAGCAACTTTAATATATACCACCAGGGTGTGAGCACATACTGAATGTACTGTGCGATCACCGTTTTCAAGAAAAGTATATTTTTGTGGATTACAGCCAAGTTTACAAGAGTAGACCCTTAAAAAGTAGATCATTCACTGCTCAATATTTGCTATTTTGTTAATTTTACTGTAATCTCTTCTAAATTGAATGATCAGCAGAACCTCCCATGTGTTTTTGTTTCAGAAGGTAAATTTTTTTATTTTTTCTCTCTTTATTAGTGGTGACTGTTTTGTCCTGAAGACATTGTTTTAACAATGCTGTGAGGTTGAAGTTCCACTATTTTCATATTTGTGAAGGATGATCACAAGGCTAGGGGAAATAAGGTTTCTTCCCTCCTATTGTGTTAAGCTTATGTTAGTTGTATACCAGCAGCTGCTGAATACACTGCCAACATTCAAACCCAAGGTCCCGGCCCCACACTGAAGAATTATCTATTGTTACTGCATGTAGCTCAACTGAAAGACATGCCGTCTCTCAAGCCCTTTCCACTATCCTGTTACTGGTTCATTGAATTAAAGCAGAAGACAGAAAGTGGCTGCCGACCTTCACACAAAACTGATAATGCCTGTGCTCGTATGTGGTTGTAAATATCGCAGTCTACTGGAAATGTCTGTCATAATGATGTACAAAAATACTCATGTGTTTCCTTAATTGGCCCCAGAAATTGTATCTTATACCAATGCTACTGTTACTAGTAAGGGTACTATAGGTTAAGGAACCTTAGGAGCCAGAAAAGTGAAAATATGAAGGTGCTGAAGTCATGTACGCGAAAGGTGATGCTTGTGTCAGCGCACCGGGCGGCGACAGAAGGGGGGAAAGGGGGCTGTGACTTGTTTTCTTCTTCATCATCACGGAAGCAAATAATTCAGCAGCTAATTTGTGACAACAACTCAATGTCATTGACTTTAATCTCACTGCTGGACTGCACACATTTGTATGAGAAGTTTGCTGTACGAGAAAGGCATCGCTGTGCATTCGCCGGCACACCTCTTGTGTGTGTTCCTGAGGTTTCTGTTCCCCATCGTCAAACTCCATGGTAGTTCTCAGAAACACACCCGTAAAAGATCTATGCAGTTTTATTCCCAATTCACCTGACATATACGGAATATGATGTCATTACAGGCCATATTTAGTCCACAAAGCGTTGGTAAGAAGGGCATCTGGGAGATGACCGTTGCCTCTTATCCTGAAGTGCCACAGCTGGAGGTTGCTGGACTACAAGTTACATATAATGCATTTTATTAAAAGCTTTGATTTGGATACCCCGGGGCAATCTCTTCATATTCATATGCATTGCTAAACATATTTTACATAACGTGTAGTAATCCATAATGTAATCCAGTTTAACACAGCTGGTGAAAATAGCAATAATAAATGACAAAAATTGCCTGCCCCTCTTGGCAGCGCCACCTCGTAGTTGAGCACATACTTCAGCACTTGATAACATATCAGGGAATTTTGTAGTTTCTCTATCTACAGTATATGCACAGTTAGGAAATGCCTTATCCCAAAGACAAATTCAGCCATTTTTATTTTTATTTTCTCTCTGTAAAAACAGAAAAGACAATTCAGATATCATTTAAACTTGACCAGATCTGCCTCTTCTCAGAAAAGACTCACACAAGAGAATGCACGGTGAATGCACTGTGATACACTTTGCTCTGCCAAATTGTGCACAACTGATGAATGTGAAAGAAAAGGGTAATCAATGAACCTTTGTAGAGGACTCTCTTCACTTTGCTGTGTAACAGTACACTGCTTTGCTTCATGGCTTTTATAAACAGAACTATGTGTTTGGTAAGTGTTTGTAGTTGATAGTTCACTTAACTAAAGAAGCTGTTTTCGGTTTGAGCGCTCAGACCGTTTGGTGGCACAAGCTGGACTTTGTTGCCAATAATGAAATTATTTGTTTCAAAATCGAAAGAGATTTTAAGTTAATCTACATTTTGTTTCCCTTGAATGTGTTATTTTATTTTCATCATACAATAAATATTCAAGTGAACTTTTTATTAAACAATTAAGATACTATGCTAGATATTGTTGTACAAAATTTGTATTCTTCACAAAAGTACAAATATTGGCTTTTAATGTGTAATTTAGGTTATCTCTCTTATTCTGTATAAAATGAAGTAAACAACTCTTACATAGAATTTGTTCTCCTGTGAAGTCCCAAACAGTAGAAACTGTCAACTTTATTAAACACCTCAGTGTATGCTCAATCTGAACTCCATGTCTATTCTATTCTTGCATTTTCATTTTATTGACTGCATGCCATTGCCGTCTACCACACAGTGATACAAACTGAACAGATGCTTATCTTCATCTCACTGATTTTATTTAAGAAAATTGGCTTACATACTCTTTCAGTGAAATCACCAGATTCACAGGGGTGGGAGAAGTACTCAGATCCCTTACATAAATTGAAGTAGTAGCCCAATACTACTCTGTAAAAACAACAGTTTTCATATAAATTTTGGATTACAGCCTACTATTGCATTAACATGTAAGCAGCTTTTTAATGTTGTATCTGGTCGTAGTGGAGCTAATTTTAACTGCTTCATACAGTTTATTGCATCATATTACTATGAACTGATCAGATGTTTTTTCTTTTTGGATTGTATAGTATATGAATGCTTACAGATTACATGCAATCAACATACAGTTGAGACCAAAGTTTTTCACAGGTGACATCTAGTGATATTTCTTGATTAGAACAGTTTTGCAAGACGACCTACGGCCAGCAGGAGGCAATGTAATACAATACATTACACATTACTTTGGGGTGCAGGCTGTAGGGTCCAGCTTGCGTTAGCTAAGGTAAAGGTAAGTTGGTAAATCCCCGAAGCCAGCAGTTCACACCAACTGGAAATATTAGAACATAACTTTAAACAACGGTAGCCAACTTAAGTAATATTTAGCTAACCGTTGGTTCAACCTGTTAGTGGGCGTTTTTAAAGTTGTGATAGGGCAGGTGTGTTTTTAATCTGAATAGGGTGAGTTTTATCTCTTTTAAAACAGCAGCAACAACAACAACAACAACAAAAAAACACAAAAATTGGTAACATAATGTAAATACGGTAAAATGTATCTTGAAATAAATGGTGAGAAATGTCATAACGTTAGTTAGGCATAAAGTTACATCAAACTAGAAGTAAACTTGTGGTTGTGAGCTAAGTTAACGTTAACTCCCCTGCATTTTATGGAGAAATAATTTTACTTTTCACTCCATTTATTTGAAGGCAGTAATACATTTCTAAACAGTGGTTTTCACGTCCAAAACAATAGCACGTGTTCTTAAAATTTGATGCATTTCTATTGTGGAAACTCAAGACATGTTACAGTTACAGTTATACAAAGTAGCCTAATTCAGTTGAAGCACTTTAACATTTAGTACAAAAGTACATTTTACTACTTACAAGTGTTTGCTTGATTGAATTTTGAATACTGGACTTGCATTTGCATTTTCTTCATTGTGGAATTGCTATTCTTACAGTATATATAAATAAAACATTTAAATGAATCAAATTGAATAGCAAAACAAACCAATGCCAGACAAACTGCTTAGTTGACAACCTCTTTGGTTGTTTTCAGTGAAGGCTTGCCTGTGCATCACTCAGTATATTTGTCCCAAAGTACATGTTCCTGGCCTCCCAGTCCTTCAGACCAGCTGTGCTGCAGCTGGAACAGTTCCAGTGTGCATGTGTAGAGTAACCAAGCAGGGTTTTGGGCTGTTTGAGTTGTGTGAGAAGAAGGGCGACAGGCCACCTGCCATTGGGGCTTGCCCTGTTCAGATCCCCAGCCCTGCCTTTCAACTGGGAGCCAAGTTGGGGTTCTTTCATGTGGGTCTGATCTCCTTAAGACATTAGCAAATATTGAACATGACTCAGTCCAGACTCAAACACATCTGTTGTCATATAGTCTCCACTGTTAGGCACAGACAAGGAGAAAGAGAGTGAACACCAGTGGGTCTGTTGCATTGGCTTCTATGTGTGGACAGAAAGCTATAGTTTATACTTTGCAAACACAAATGCTTACTTCTGACGAGCTTAGGCTAAACCATGTTCCACTGTAAACAAATATGGGGCTGTGTGAAAGAAATGGAGTTTGGTATGACAAGGCAGCCGCTGAGTGCCAGATCTGTGCTGGAGATCAGGGATGAGATAAGACGAACGTTTCATATGCTCAGTCATGTTGTGGAATCCATCGGCAGTATTTTGTGTTTTGAACAGATAAGAAGGACAGTTGTATTGTAGAATTAGACTAGATTATGGCATTAAGTTTTTTTCTCTCCAAATACTTGGACCTATGAGAGAACTCATATTAGAGGAAGTGTAATGCATGCTGATCTTAAAACAGACAAATAGCCTCACAAATGCAAATAAATAGTCAAATATTCAAATCAACAATAAACAGACTGATAGGCAGGCATAAACAGGCTGTTCAGCCTGCTGTATTCTGTGAGCAACTGTTTCATCATCGTTTCAGTGTGTATTTAATCTATTGCTACAGCGTCCTAATATACTCAAATTTGTAGTCAGATTTTTTTCCAATCCCACATAAGTCATACTGTATGTACCTCCATCCATTACAGAAGGCTTGGGCAGGACTCAACACCCGACTATGGCATTCTCATAGTCATTGAAACTCACCCTGTGGGACTGGTATGGCTTGTTTCACCCAGTTTGGCCAATCACTTGTCTTCAAGTAGGAGAGTGCACTAACTACATGTTGTGTTTGAAACACTTCCTATTTTTCATCATAGTTAGGATGGTTGAGCTGCCTCTGGGACTTTATTGCTGCTCTCGGTTAGTCTCAGTGTGTGGCTTTGTCGAGCTGTTGAGCAGAGGTCGACTAGACAGGTATAGTATGATGTTTTCTTTGTCTGAATTATACTGGAACAATCCAGGAGAATATAATAATACCATGTAGAATCATTTAGGTGAAGTAGTTTATTCATAAATGTTTGAGATCAGAGATTAGGCTTTAGCACTATGGGTAAGATTTGTTTATGATAATGTACCTTTTTTGGTTTGGCTGATACACGTGTGGTTGTTGGTAGGTAGTACTTTTTTGTGTTTTATAACACAAAAATGTTGGTCTAGACAGAAGATTTGGCAGAAGTAGGTACTGCTGGGTGTGACACTAATTCAGATGGCAGAAAAACAATAGAGACATTTTTTCTATTATCTTTGTGTGGTGACAAATCCTCTGTTGCGCTGCCACTGTGATGCTACATCTTGACATACTGTACATTGTCACCTTCTGTAGAGACACCATGTAGAACGATTCAGTCTCAATAGATTGAATTGTGCCTTTATAAAAAATAGAATAGGATAGAATGTCCAGAAGTTTTATGTTTTTGTGTAGCAAACATTTTTGTTTTTTAAAAGTGTGTTTATAGCTATCATCAGTGGCCACCTGGCTGTAGTTGTTATGTCATTTCCATGGACTGAGTCTAATGTACATAGGACATCTTGCTCCATTTTATTAGTCCCATACACATGTAACACAAAGAATCTTTCTTTTTTATCTGAAAGGTATCACTTAAGATGGAAGTCAAGAAAAACACCTTCTTGGAGAACTTGCGCCTGAAAACTAAGTTTGTAAGACTGAAGAAGCCAGCTAAGAAGACGCCTGGCAAGCAGGGGAAGAAGCTGGCCTATCGGCGCAGTATTTCCGTACCAGACCTAAGGTTTGTGCCAGGTGAAGCATCTTCTTCCTCTGATTTCTTTAGCATCTCCCCTGGTGTGAGTGATACTGATTCTGTCGCCAGCGGCTCCGTCACTGATGGACCACTTTTCACAGACAAACTGAGTGATTCAGTCCCAGAAAGCACACCCAAAGTTCCTACAGATCAGGCAGCTGCTGCTTTGAAAAGAATAAGTTTACCAGTGGGGACACCGACCCTTTATGAGGAAGTTGATGAGTTGATGAATTTAGGCTCAGAGAACAAGGTGACTCAAGAAGGCTTGTATACACAAGTGGATAAAAGATCCAAGGGCAGTTTACCTAAATTTACTTTTGACCCTATTCCTTCACCAAGATCTGTTTTTACCAACGCACTTGATTCACCAAAACCAGACCTTACTGAGAGACAGAGTGTCTCTGGTGAAGACACCCCAGCAGACCGAGCTCTTGCAGGTAGGGTTGCTGCAGCACTGGCCAGAGCAAACTCCCTGGGAGACCAAGTGAACCCTTTCACAGAAAAGAGGACCACATCATTGGAGCAGAATAAGCCATCACGCGAAAAAGGGACCCCTGCAGCTCCTGTAGACAGAATGTCTCTGATGTTGGAGACTCAGGGGACTCCTTTGGAGAGTGCAGATGGCAACTTTCTGGACTCTTCCTGTGGCACTCCCAATGAGGAGCAAGTCAACATGCCCTCAACAACAGATTCGGAGGAACAGGACCAAGAACTCTGCTCCCTCCTTTTCACAAGTGGGTTGTCCACAGAAGAAGCCATGCAAGAAGAAGCCCAGATTGAGGAGGCCTTGGAAGAGGTCAGTTTACAGTGTATTTAACTGCAGTATAATCAGAGGGTCTATTCTTATTTGAAGTCTGCATGTACTGTAGACTTGAATTTTGTATTCAGATGTCAAATTAGCGATTTCCTTTCATGGTAAATGAAACAGATGGGAAACCAAACTAATCCAGTCATGTGCATATACATTAACCTTAAGAGCCCTTTCTGGTGTGCTAACTTAAATGAAAGTGATAATCTCTTACATGAAAGTATGCAAGCTCTAGTGCCATAGTAAAGTACTTAAGAAGACGCTGTGTGATGTAAAGAAGGTATTGTAAATAAAACATGTTATCCGTTACTAATATAATCTATAGCATCACCACAATAACTAAGTTAATAATGTTTAATGTATTTTCACATTGGTCATATATGCATGGTTTCATTTCACTTCAGCTGTTGTTCTCAGCCTCTAATATGAATGGCATGAAATCAACATTCTTTCCTAAGCCTGATCTTGGGCTTGTGGTTTTATTACACTTTATCCCTGTAGCACTTACATATAGACAGAATACACATAGTGTGTATTCTCTATATATCCACTGTAACAGTAACACTTAAGTCTACTTAGTCTACATATCAAACGCATCCTCAGATGATTGGTGATAAATGTAACGTGACCACCTGGGATTTGACTTTATACAGCCCTAACTGAAACTAAAACTGTTATCTCCTCTTTTGTCTAGATGCCTCATAGATATGGGA